TATGTTTGATATTTAAATATTCATATTTAGAAACCAAAACGACAAAATTATCCAGAAATAAGTACTTGCGCAGCGATTGATTTTTATCTCATGTGTCGATTCGGCTGGTACTATTTTTCTCCTCCAACATTCAAAGTCGCCGAGTCTCGGGACACCCTATGACCGCCGCCCCAATTCTAATGCGATTTAAACGACACGTGCGAGCCGCGTACCTGAACGCGCACCTGCGCTCTCTCTCTCTCTCTCTCTCTCTCTCTCGCGTGCGCCTAATGAGAATCAGAACGCGGCACAATCAACTTCCGTGGCGTGTAATTATGGCGTGTCAATAAATTTCAATCGACGAGCGTAAGGGGAGGAGTGTAGGGGGGTGGCGCGCTGGGCATGGTGGTCGGAACTGCCCGATGTTTCCGAGATTCAGTTTGGCAGCTTTATCGGCGTATAATTGATAACGGCGGCGACAGGGAGAGGGGCAGAGACAAGGGGACACCTCTCGGCTGTTCGCGCGCGCTCGTAGTTACGCCGGAAATCTCTCGGGAATATCAAACCGAACGTTATTATGCATATTTTCGCTTTATCGCGGGGACGTTACGCGGTAAAAATGTCGATCGGCCGAGGCGAATCGCTTAATCTCATCGCGGACTGCGTTATGGAATAGTCGATATCGGCTCGTCTCTATTGGTATTCCTGTAAATTCGCCGCTCTTAATTGAATTCTCCGCGTAAATTTCCGTTCGCCGACGGAAAGAAAGAGTAGAGTATAGAGAAAGAAAGAAAGAGAGAAAGAGAGAGAGAGAGAGAGAGAGAGAGAGAAAGTGAGAGAGAGAGGGAGGGAAGGAAGGTGTGGGAGGACAGTTTCTAAGATAAAACCGATATAAATAACGAATAAGCGATCTCTAAGTGAACGGCAGCTCGCGATTGCTATTCTCGACGATGTCCTCGCGAAAAATACTCAACGCTCAAAGGTCAATGAGAAGTGGCCCAAGCGGCGAGAGTGAGAGAGAGAGAGAGAAAAAAGAAAAGATCGATCGACCAGACGGGAATAAAGGATGAGGAGCGCACGATAGTGCCCTTCGAAAATAGAAAATAAACGGCGCGCCGCGTTATTCGGATCCATGCTAAAAAGCGACGAGCGGACTCGTCGCGATATTTAATTTCCCAGCCGTGTCTCTCTCTCCTCTTCAGGAGGCACCCCGGGCTTGCTCCGCAATTTCGCTCCGGGTCGTTGCGTTACGGTGTTCAAAGTACCGAATTAAAGTCTTGATGAAACATAATTGGGGAGGGCGCGCCCGGTGTATCGGTGTATGTATCTTTCTCGTGGCACCTATACCTCCCAGCCGCCGTTTCCAGGGGCTATCCGGCGTAACGATTATTGCAGAGAGGAGAGCGCGCGGCGGCGAAGGCAGAAGAAGGAGCCGCCTCCGTCTTCGCCGCTGCCCTGCGACTCCACCGGCGCGTTTTCCCGCGTCTTGTCCTACTCGTGTATGCCCAGGCGACTTACAATTGCGGCCGTTCCGCGCTTCCGACGGGGCTGCAACGCGCGCGCGCCGCGGGTGGTCTAATGGCGATGGCGGCGTTTGTCGCGGCAAATGAGAGTGAATGGCGCTAATATAGAAACTTTTTCAGCCCATCTCGACACTCAACTCGAAATGCACGCACACATGTACGTGTTGCTCTCATGCACCTTGACGATTTCTCTCAGCAGCGAGGTGCAAAAACGATTCTGGTCTCGCGGGTCGCGACAGGTGGTGCGCCGGAGGGATGCGAAGCCGTCCGCGGGGCGACGCGATTAATTT